GAAAGATCAATAAATATTGTTTTTACACATATTTAGACCCCTTTTTTGGGTAGGCACAAAACTACCGGTACCGGTTACCTTCAGACGAGTCACGTGACACTGGTGGGGATCGTAAAGCAAAACGTATACCAGCATCGTGTTCAAAATAATCTCTCCTTTCCACAGTGGGGTCATATTGGTTTGTAGCCCAAACGGAAGTTGACTGTACCGACCTCAGACTAGTCCCCTGACACTTGTGGGAGTCGTAACGCAAAACGGATACCATCATCGTGTTCGTGAGAGTCTCCCCTTTCAATAGAGTGGTCATAATAGTTTGTCAAACTGTTCGGATCCTACAGACGTTTTCATGAGAAGACCGATTTTCGGGATGTCTCATGATCTGACAAACACCGCTATAGCTCGGCCACCTTTCACCACAGATGTGGAAGAGCGATATCGGCAGATGCGGTGGATTGAGACACATCCAATGCAAAAAAAGATATCTCTAGCTTAAACTGACGGATTTTGATGGGAATTTTATTATTATGTTACTTAGATTGACACACCGGTGCGTCAATCGGCTCTAGGGGGTTAAAAATCTAAAATCCTTTCACTAATTTTGTCTCTCCAGTTCTTCTCATTAAGCTTTCTACTATCTCTTTGTGTTCCTCTCACACTCTTCACTTCCCCTCAATGTCCGTCCCTTGCCCACTCTCCCTCTCCAATTGTCCTTTCTCTTCTGTTTGGTAGGAGTGACCCATATTCAGGGCCGGCGTAATGGGCGGGCCAGGACCCCTACCGTACCTCCTTGCCCGTCCAAATAAAATTTTGAAATATTGATTATTTATTTGACCAAGACACCTGCCGACAGAAAGATGCATCAATCTCAGTTAAAGCATCCGAGTGAGCGAAACAGCTCCCCTCTGTCTCAGTATGTGTAGACCATGTTTCTGATGCCAAAAGAGTATGGCATGTCATACTATTTCTGTCCAGACAGCATCAGATACATGGGGTACATGTAGAGGGGCGCTGTTTCGTTTGCTCAGATGCTTTCTCCGGTGATATACAGTAGTTTCAGCAGAGAGGAAGAAGCAAAGCGAGAGGGCTCACTCTCGCAAAAATCTGACCCCTTGACTTTTTTCACATTTTGTTAGTTTACAGCCTTATTCAAAAATTGATTAAATTGTTTTCCCCCCTCATCAATCTACACACAATACCCCATAATGACAAAGCAAAAATAGGTTTTTTATAAAAAACGGAAATATTACATTTACATAAGTATTCAGACCCTTTCCTCAGTACTTTGTTGAAGCAACTTTGGCAGCGATTACAGCCTCAAGTCTTCTTGGGTATGACGCTACAAGCTTGGCACACCTATATTTGGGGAGTTTCTCCCATTCTTCTCTGCAGATCCTCTCAAGCTCTGTCAAGTTGGATGGGGAGCGTTGCTGCACAGCTATTTTCAGGTCTCTCCAGAGATGTTCGATCAGGTTCAAGTCCGGGCTCTGGCTGGGCCACTCAAGGAAATTCAGAGACTTGTACCGAAGCTACTCCTGCGTTGTCTTGGCTGTGTGCTTAGGGTTGATGTTCTGTTGGAAGGTGAACCTTCGCCCCAGTCTGAGGTCATGAGAGCTCTGGAGCAGGTTTTCATCAAGAATCCCTCCTTTGCCTCGATCCTGACTAGTCTCCCAGTCCCTGCCGCTGAAAAACATCCCCACAACATGATTCTGCCACCACCATGCTTCACCATAGGGGTGGTGCCAGGTTTCCTCCAGACGTGACGCTTGGCATTGAGGCCAAAGAGTTCAATCTTGGTTTCATCAGACCAGAGAATCTTGTTTCTCATGGTCTGAGTCATTTAGGTGCCTTTTGACAAACTCCAAGTGGGCTGTCATGTGCCTTTTACTGAGTGGCTTCCGTCTGGCCACTCTACCATAAAGGCCTGATTGGTGGAGTGTTGCAGAGATGGTTGTCCTTATGGAAGGTTCTCCCATCTCCACAGAGGAACTCTGGAACTCTGTCAGAGTGACCTTCGGGTTCTTGGTCACCTCCCTGACCAAGGCTCTTCTCCCCCGATTGCTCAGTTTGGCTGGGCGGCCAGCTCTAGGAAGAGTCTTGGTGGTTCCAAACTTCATCCATTTAAGAATGACATTTTTTGGTACCCTTCCCCAGATCGGTGCCTCGACACAATCCTGTCTCGGCGTACAATTCCTTTGTCCTCATGGCTTGGTTTTTGCTCTGACATGCACTGTCAACTGTGGGACCTTATATAGACAGGTGTGTGCCTTTCCAAATCATGTCCAATCAATTGAATTTACCACAGGTGGACTCCAATCAAGTTGTAGAAACATCTCAAGGATGATCAATGGAAACAGGATGCACCTGAGCTCAATTTCAAATCTCATAGCAAAGGGTCTGAATACTTATGTAAATAAGGTATTTCTGTTTTTAATTTTTAATACATTTGCAAACATTTCTAAAAACCTGTTTTCGCTTTGTCATTATGGGGTATTGTGTGTAGATTGATTTTAGACTAAGGCTGTGACGTAACAAAATGTGTAAAAAGTCAAGGGGTCTGAATACTTTCCGAATGCACTGTATTTTACTTAGTTGATGATGGAAGTTATTGGCCTACTGCTGCATTGGTCTATAGGCTATCTCTGAGTTCTATGCTCGCCAATGGATCACAGTGTATCAATGTGCTCTCGCCATAGTTGAATTTTAACTTTTAGATTTTTATCATTTTTCTTCAGATTTTTATGATTAACTACTGAATGAAACTGTTCTACGAAAACGTGCATATATACAGTTGAAGTCGGAAGTTTACATACACTTAGGTTGCAGTCATTAAAACTCGTTTTTCAACCACTCCACACATTTTTTGTTAACAAACTATAGTTTTGGCAAGTCTGTTAGGACATCTGCTTTGTGCATGACACAAGTAATTTTTCCAACAATTGTTTACAGACAGATTATTTCACTTATAATTCACTGTATCACAATTCCAGTGGGTCAGAAGTTTACATACACTAAATTGACTATGCTTTTAAACAGCTTGGAAAATTCCATAAAATGATGTCATGGCTTTAGAAGCTTCTGTTAGGCTAATTGATATCATTTGAGTCAATTGGAGGTGTACCTGTGGATGTATTTCAAGGCCTACCTTCAAACTCAGTGCCTCTTTGCTTGACATCATGGGAAAATCAAAAGAAATCAGCCAAGACCTCAGAAAAAAGATTTGTAGACCTCCACAAGTCTGGTTCATCATTGGGAGCAATTTCCAAACGCCTGAAGGTACCACGTTCATCTGTACAAACAATAGTACGCAAGTATAAACACCAAGGGACCACACAGCCGTCATACCGCTCAGGAAGGAGACGCGTTCTGTCTCCTAGAGATTAACGTACATTGGTGCGAAAAGTGCAAATCAATCCCAGAACAAAAGCAAAGGACCTTGTGAAGATGCTGGAGGAAACAGGTACAAAAGTATCTATATCCACAGTAAAACAAGTCCTATATTGACATAACCTGAAAGGCCGCTCAGCAAGGAAGAAGCCACTGCTCCAAAACCACCATAAAAAAGCCAGACTACGGTTTGCAACTGCACATGGGGACAAAGATTGTACTTTTTGGAGAAATGTCCTCTTGGTCTGATGAAACAAATATAGAATTGTTTGGCCATAATGACCATCATTATGTTTGGAGGAAAAAGGGGAATGCTTGCAAGCCGAAGAACACCATCCCATCCGTGAAGCATGGGGGTGGCAGCATCATGCTGTGGGTGTGCTTTGCTGCAGGAGGGACTGGTGCACTTCACAAATAGGTGGCATCATGAGGAAGGAAAATTATGTGGATATATTGAAGCAACATCTCAAGACATCAGTCAGGAAGTTAAAGCTTGGTCGCAAATGGGTCTTCCAAATGGACAATGACCCCAAGCATACTTCCAAAGTTGTGGCAAAATGGCTTAAGGACAACAAAGTCAAGGTATTGGAGTGGCCATCACAAAGCCCTGACCTCAATCCTATAGAACATTTGTGGGCAGAACTGAAAAAGCGTGTGCGAGCAAGGAGGCCTACAAACCTGACTCAGTTACACCAACTCTGTCAGGAGGAATGGGCCAAAATTCACCCAACTTATTGTGGGAAGCTTGTGGAAGGCTACCCGAAACGTTTGACCCAAGTTAAACAATTGAAAGGCAATGCTACCAAATACTAATTGAGTGTATGTAAACTTCTGACCCACTGGGAATGTGATGAAATAAATAAAAGATGAAATAAATCATTCTCTCTACTATTATTCTGACATTTCACATTCTTAAAATAAAGTGGTGATCCTAAAACAGGGAATTTTTACTAGGATTAAATGTCAGAAATTGTGAAAAACTGAGTTTAAATGTATTTGGCTAAGGTGTATGTAAACTTCCGACTTCAACTGTAAATATTCATAACTGGCACGCAGATCGGTAGAAATGGTAGGATAAATTGTAAGCTTCCCCAAACTTGAAACTCATGAGCTGCCTATGGTCTACCCATATTATCCTGACAGCTTCTGGTTGGTAGTTGTGACCCATATTATCCTGACAGCTCCACTTAATTGGGCCCAGCAACTATTCATACACTCTCTCAAGCACTTTCTTAGTTCAAAAACTAGTCCAAAAAAACATCACATCACTAAAACTTGAAGAAGAAAATACATTTACACATTTACATAATCTGAAGGACATTCAGATAGAAATTAGCTGCTACTCTTTCTCTTTCTAAACTCATTAACTCTCTCTCTCTCTCTCCTCTCTCTCCTCTCTCATCGCTCATCTCGCTATCTAGATCTATCTCTCTATCTCTCTCTATCTCTCTCTCTCTCTCTCTCTCTCTCTATCTCTCTCTCTCTCTCTCTCTCTCTCTCTCTCTCTCTCTATCTCTCTCTAACACACAGAGGGTGGGACTATGGCTGCCGAGAGTCTGGCTGAGCTCCGTGATTGGCTCTTCCTGCTTCTCCTGTGCCTGACTCTATTGGCCGAGATGCTGGAGTTGGCGGCGGCAGCAGTTGCCATGGAGGAGGGCGAGGAAGAGTTCCCGTGCCCGTCGGTGTGCCGGTGTGACGAAGGCTTCGTCTACTGTAACGACCGGGGCCTGAGCATGATCCCTCCGCTACCGTTAACGGCTACCGTTCTCTACCTACAGAGCAACCAGTTGGCCAACTCCGGCCTGCCGCCGTCGTTAGAGCACAGCAGTAGTATCCGTGTGGTCTACCTTTACGCCAACCAACTAGACGAGTTTCCTATACACCTGCCGCCATCGCTACGGGAACTACACCTGCAGGACAACAACATTCGGACGTTGCCACGCACAACATTGGCCAGGTTACCATTACTAGAGAGGCTACACCTGGACGACAACTCCATCTCCACGGTGAGCATCCAGGAGCGGGCCTTCTCCGGCACGCCGCGGCTGAGGTTACTCTTCCTCTCCCGGAACCACCTGTCCAGCATCCCAGCCGGCCTCCCGGCTTCTTTAGAGGAGCTGAGGTTAGACGACAACCGCATCAACACCATCCCCACCCACGCCTTCCGGGGCCTGGCCTCACTGAGACGCCTGATCCTGGACGGGAATCTCCTGGCCAACACCCGCATCGCCGACGACACCTTTTCCCGCATGGCCAACCTCACGGAGCTGTCGCTCGTCCGCAACGCCCTGCAGGCCCCGCCCATCAACCTGCCCAGCACACACCTGCTGAGACTGCACCTGCAGGACAACGGGCTGATCCACGTGCCCCGGGGGACCCTGGACGGGATGAGGAAGCTGCAGAGGCTGGACCTGTCAGGTAACCAACCAGGGGTTGGAACAGAGTTCCCAAAGCTAAATAATTCCCATAGCTAGAATCCTAAGATTTTACATTGCTGAGTTTCCAGAGTCTAGACTAAAACGCAGCCTGTATTTTGCAGAGTAACTTTAGTGAACTACTCAGAAAATATGCAGCAGATTAGCGTATTATATTACAGCAGGTCCCATACTAGTGACTTGTGTCCATTTCCATCCCTGCAGGTAACAACCTGACCACTCTGCCCCGGGGGCTGCTGAGGGACACGGACGGCTTAGAGCTGTTTCTGCTCCGGGGGAACCCCTGGTACTGTGGCTGCAACCTGCACTGGCTCCAGGCCTGGCTGTATGGCCGCGGGGCAGCGGTGACGGTACGGGGCCTGACCTGCCACGGGCCGGAGGCGGTGCGAGGCCAGGCCCTCAGGGACATCTCTGGGCTCATGGACCAGTGTGAAGGCCCCCCAGGAGGGGTGAACACTGTCTCTAGTACTACCACCACCTTCCCCCCCACCCAGGGCTCTATGTTTACCCTCAGGGCCATGCGGCCGGGCCTGGTGATGACGTTACCACCGGGAGGAGGAGAGGCAGGGGGGGCACGCCTCACACGACACTCTAGAACTCACGGTGAAGCCTCTGTCTGCGGACAGCGTGCAAGTGACGTGGCTGTGCCCACGGCCGGCGCCCTCCTTCCGGCTGTCATGGCTAAGGCTGGGCAGCAGCGCCGCTCTGGGTTCCATCACAGAGACGCTGGTCCCCGGGGAGAGACAGCAGTACCTACTGACCCAGCTCACGCCACGATCACACTACCTCATCTGCCTGCTCCCCCTGCGCTCCTCTTCCTCCCACTCTGGAGGGTCACAGAGAGGACCGCAGCAGGAAAAGGACACAATGGACCAGAGCCCCGTCTGCGCTCAGATTGAGACGGGGGAGGCTCTGCGCCCCGAGGGGGGAGACGGGGGTGAGGACTCGAACACAGAGATGGCAGCCCTCCCCCTGGCTGAGATCATCGGCGGAGCCACGGCCCTCGTCTCCCTCATACTCATCTTCGGCATCTTCTGCTGGTACGGCCAGCGCGCCGGGTACGTCTCGGGGGAAACAGACTCCTATGGGGTCAGAGGACAGCGCGGGGTCGGAGTGGGGAAGCCGTATGATGACTACGTGGAGTCCGGCACTAAGAAGGACACCTCCATCCTGGAGATCAGGAGCCCCAGCTTCGCCATGACGCCCATGACGACCCATCAGCCACTGCAACCCAAAGGAGGGGAGGACGTGACTTACGTGCACACAATCTTCCCCTCATCGCACGGTAACGGCACCTACCGGAGCAACCAGAGTCACAACGGCATCATCAACCAAATGGGTCACACAGCGGGCTACAGGACCAACCGGGGTTACCGGGAGCAAGGGATGATCCCGGATATAGACTACACCTACACGTGATGACATCATCTCAGACACACTTCTCCCACCCCCCACCGGTTGGACGCTGTTCTAAGGATACGGTTCTAGCAGGCGGTTGGTTGGTTGGTCTCCTTGGTTCCAAAGTATCCTCTGTGCCTCCTCAGTTCTGCTCTGAATCTTATTGCTCTGTTACTTAGCTGACTGGCTTGGGCTGCTGTGTCCCCACAGGGCCATCATACATACCTGTTAACTGGGTGACGGAAGTGCCAGTCAAGTCGTACCACACTGGGTATTGACCTACTATAATGTTTCAGTGCTTCATGTTTAAACATTGTTTTGAGGTCTCAGTATCTTTACAGCTACTGTACTCTTCCTTCTATTCCGTAAAACACAGTTAGTAGTTTGAGGTGGATGTTTAGGCCTAGGTAGACGATATAGGTAAATATATACCAGAGAGAAGCACTTATGTAGATGGCTATACTGCTACCTACTTCTGTACACGCTGTGTAGACACACATGTAAGGGTTTGATGGTACTAGTCATAACAACCTACAAACAACAACTCATCATCACTGACTGACAAAAAATATATGTTTCTATCTTAGAGATATATTTCTATCAGAGAGAGAGAGAAATAGAGAGAGGAAATAGAGAGAGAGAGAAATAGAGAGAAATAGAGAGAAATAGAGAGAGAGAGGGAGAGAGAGAGAAATAGAGAGAGAATAAGAAGAATAGAGAGATGAGAGAGGAGATATAGGAGATAGAGAGAGAGAGAGAGAGAGAGAGAGAGAGAGAGAGAGAGAGGAAAAGAAAAATGTAGGCGAGAGAGAATAGAGATTGTACTGGTGAGAGAAGGAGAGAGAGGAGAAGAGAGAGAGAGAGAGAGGCGAGAGAGCGCCGCTTCGCGCGAAGAAGAGAAGTACGAGAGTCGCTAGAGAGGGAGAGAGAGAGAAATAGAGAGAGAAAATATATATATCTCTATTAGAGAGGAAGAGAGAGAGAGAGAGAGAGAGAGAAGAAGCCTTTGTTCTAGCTGAGTGGAGCTGACAGTTCTGATAACAGCGCATAAGGGATGCTACTGCCGCTGCCTGCCCCTGGACTCTAATGAGAGAGAGAGATAGTGAGAGAGAGAGAGCGAGAGTAGGAGAGGGGGGAGAGAGAGAGAGGGGGAGAGGGAGAAGGAAGAGAAAGGAGGTTACGAGAGAGACAGAATAATTGAGGAAGAGAGTGAGAGAGGAGATAGGGAGAGAAGGTGGAGAGTTAAGAGGGAGAGCAAAGAGAGAAGTAATGACAGAGTGAAACGGTGAAAAGGGAATTCAAGGAGAGTATTTTGCTTATTGTCATCACAATATGAAAAGCAAAGGCATGTTAACTGGACAATCCTAGAGAAATGTCTCCAATCAAATTACTCAAATCAACCCAAGGTAAAAGGCATTTTCTATTGGTCTATTGGTTGCTATCAGGAAAGATGTAGAAAAATACATGCATTTACACTGATGTACCCATTCACCCCACAAACATCTGAACACAGTAAGCTGTAATAGCCGTAATAACTGTACCATCATACAGCGCTATTATACTATATGATAGCTCCCCATTATATAGCTACTTAGTATCTCTATGTACAGTACCAGTCAAAGGTTTGGACACACCTACTCATTCAAGGGTTTTTCTTTATTTTTACTATTTTCAACATTGTAGAATAATAGTGAAGACATCAAAACTATGGAGTAACACATATGCAATCATGTAGAAACCAAAAAAAGTGTTAAACAAATCAAAACATATTTTATATTTTATATTCTTCAAAGTAGCCACCCTTTGCATTGATGACAGCTTTGCACACTCTTGGCATTCTCGCAACCAAATCAAATCAAATTTGATTTGCCACATGCGCCGAATACAACAGGTGTAGACATTACAGTGAAATGCTTACTTACAAGCCCTTAACCAACAATGCAGTTAAGAAAAGAGCAAATAATTGAAGAGCAGCAATAAAATAAAAGAACAGTAGGGAGGCTATATACAGGGCGTACCGGTACAGAGTCAATGTGCGGGGGCACCGGTTAGTCGAGGTAATTGAGGTAATATGTACATGTGGGTAGAGTTAAAGTGACTATGCTTAAATAATAAACAGAGTAGCAGCAGCGTAAAAGAGGGGGTTGGGGTTGGGTGGGGTGGGGTGGAAATGCAAATAGTCTGGGTAGCCATGATTAGCTGTTCAGTAGTCTCATGGCTTGGGGGTAGAAGCTGTTAAGAAGCCTTTTGGACCAAGACTGCTTCACGAGCAAAGCTTTTCCATCAATCTTGAAGGAGTTCCCACATATGCTGAGCACTTGTTGGCTGCTTTTCCTTCACTCTGCAGTCCATCTCAATTGGGTTGAGGTCGGGTGATTGTGGAGGCCAGGTCATCTGATGCAGCACTCTATCACTCTCCTTCTTGGTAAAATAGCCCTTACACAGCCTGGAGGTGTGTTTTGGGTCATTGTCCTGTTGAAAAACAAATGATAGTCCCACTAAGCGCAAACCAGATGGGATGGCGTATCGCTGCAGAATGCTGTGGTAGCCATGCTGGTTAAGTGTGCCTTGAATTCTAAATAATTCACAGACAGTGTCACCAGCAAAGCACCCCCACACCATCACACCTCCTCCTCCATGCTTCACGGTGGGAACCACACATGCGGAGATCATCCGTTCACCTACTCTCCGTCTCACAACGACACAGAGGTTGGGACCAAAAATCTCAAATTTGGACTCATCAGACCAAAGGACAGATTGCCACCGTTCTAATGTCCATTGCTTGTGTTTCTTGGCCCAAGCAAGTCTCTTCTTATTATTGGTGTCCTTTAGTAGTGGTTTCTTTGCAGCAATTTGACCATGAAGGCCTGATTCACGCAGTCTCCTCTGAACAGTTGATGTCGAGATGTGTTTGTTACTTGAACTCTGTGAAGCATTTATTTTGGCTGCAATCTGAGGTGCAGTTAACTCTAATGAACTTATCCTCTGCAGCAGAGGTAACTCTGGGTCTTCCTTTCCTGTGGCGGTCCTCATGAGAGCCAGTTTCATCATAGCGCTTGATGGTTTTTGCGACTGTACTTGAAGAAACTTTCAAAGTTCTTTACATTTTCAAGATTGACTGACCTTCATGTCTTAAAGTAATGATGGACTGTCGTTTCTCTTTGCTTATTTGAGATGTTCTTGCCATAATATGGACTTGGTCTTTTACCAAATAGGGCTATCTTCTGTATACCACCCCTACCTTGTCACAACACAACTGATTAGCTCAAACGCACTAAGAAGGAAAGAAATTCCACAAATTAACTTTTAACAAGGCACACCTGTTAATTGAAATGCATTCCAGGTGGCTACCTCATGAAGCTGGTTGAGAGAATGCAAAGTTGTGTTCAAAGTTCTCATCAAGGCGAAGGGTGGCTACTTCGAAGAATCTCAAATATAAAATATATTTTCATTTGTTTAACACTTTTTTGGTTACTACATCATTCCATATTTGTTATTTAATAGTTTTGATGTCTTCACTATTATTCTACACTGTAGAAAATAGTAAAAATCAAGAAAAACCCTTGAATGAGTAGGTGTGTCCAAACTTTTGACTGGTACTGTACATCACAGACAGACACAGTCAGGTCACAGGTAGGGGGCAGAGAGTTCTGTAGAAATCAGGGATGAACCAAACTTAAGCACTGTGCATCTCTGCACTCTAATCACACACACAAATGCCACACACACACACACACACACACACACACACACACACACACACACACAAAGGAAACATAGTGAGAAACAAGGCTCAGAAGAGAATCTCTGTCAATCTATGTATAGTATAACAATGTTCTGGCCTCTTGATCACAATTTAATCATAATGCAGAGGAGAATAAAGGGAGTGGTGGGAAAAGGAGGGAGAGAATGATAGCAGAAGAAAAGAGAAAGATATGTATAGACTATAGGTTTTTATAAACCATGATAAACTTAATTAGCCTTATGTCTTTTTCCAATCCAAAACTCCACTGGGAGAAGCACTCTGGTGTGAGAGAAAAGCTCTAAAACCTCTTCACTGTCTTAGAAACCTTTCCTTTAAATACTCTCAGCTTTTCAGAAAGAATAAAGTCTTATGTATAAATCTAAACGGTGAGAACTGTTTGTTTGGTTCAGTTTGTTTGTTTTTCTATGCGAATAAAAAAGGATGGATAAAAGTGAAAATGTTTTCATACTCTATGTGTTTTAGTGGGAGGTGGTGTTGGGTTGTGCTAAATTATACTGTACAAATAAACTGGCAGAATATTAGAAAGAATCAATATCAACATAAATACATAATGAGGCAGTGATGTTCATTAAATATACTCTCTGAATACATAGTAGCTGTGTTATTATTACTGACTAGATTTACTAGCCTTGGGAAGCTACCTATCGATGTGTGTGTGTGTGTGTGTGTGTGTGTGTGTGTGTGTGTGTGTGTGTGTGTATCAACATGGTCTGGAGACCTGTGTGTCTAGTCTACATGGTCAGTCTGTGTGTTAACGTGAGGACATGCCTCCAATTCTAAATGAGTGCTAATGCTGTAAGCACAAATCAATATAACGAGCCAGAGAGGGTGTAAGTGTCTATCTCAGACAAACAGATTGTGAAACACAGTACAGGCTCTCTCTCTCTCTCTCTGTGTGTGTGTGTGTGTGTGTGTGTGTGTGTGTGTGTGTGTGTGTGTGTGTGTGTGAGTGTGTGTGTGTGTGTGTGTGTGTGTGTGTGTGTGTGTGTGTGTGTGTGTGTGTGTGTGTGTGTGTGTGTGTGTGTGTGTGTGTGTGTGTGTGTGTGTGTGTGTGTGTGTGTGTGTGTGTGTGTGTGTGTGTGTGTGTGTGTGTGTGTGTGTGTGTGTGCGTGCGTGTGTGCGTGCGTGCGCTAGGGTTGCAAAGACACCGGTAGTTTACCAGAGTTTAAAAAAAATATATTCATACATAGTATACATTTTTCATATCTGTGTCCATATTGTTCATGTGTTTCTAGTAGATAGATCATATGGTTAA